AATTAGCCTCACAAGCTGTACTGTTGTTTGCATTGCTTACAAATTAGCAAATATATTGCCCTTGCCTTCTCGTTCAGCCCCACATTTTCTCGCAGTGCAGTGCCGCTGCTTCTGTAATTAGTGTTGCTGCTATCCTGTCTTAACTGATTTCGTGTTGCTGTCATTACCGCTATTGCAGCCCCATTGCATTTCGGTGCATTTCGGTGGAGTTTCGTAGGTACTTACAGCTTAGTTGCAAATACGAGCTTAAATGCGTTTATATTTTCAGATTGCTGCCGATTCTGCTGTCATCAACGTGGTTCTACATGCTTTATAACTACTTATCGGCCAGCGATTATACTTGCATTTTAGGTCGCTTTTAAAATTTATTGTTATTTGTAATTAATGAGAGTGCCCTTTCTTGCATATCTTACACTACGTGTCTACTTCTCTGAGCTACATTTAATTTTTGTGCCTTTTTAAAAGAGATAACTAAGTTGGGATTGATTATTTTCACAGCATTGATTTCTGTGAAAAGCAATAAATGAAGTTTTTGTAATATTTGGCTTATAACTTTGTATAAAAATGTTTAATTATTGATCCCCAATTATTTCCTTTTGATAAAAACCCCATATCTTTAAAAAGTGTCCTCAGCTTGGACTAGCGCCACCTGTGGTGCGCAAAATCATGGTTTGCTCACTGCTCGCTAGAGGGCGTCCTGCAAAGCTCTCAATAGTTCAAGATGTTCAAGTACAAGTAATTTAAAAATATAGACAGCTTTCTGAAAGCTATTGGCACAAGGCTAATTGATAATTTGAATCTTGCTCCATCGACACCAAAACTCAACTATCACCTCAATTGTTACTTAATAATCCCACTGCAGAGTACTCACACTTTTTGCAGCCCCAATTACAACGCATGATAAAGTCGCTGGGCATTTACCAATTTTTGCCTAATTTTTTGGCAGCTAATCAACTGCAAAAAGCAACTTTCTGGGGGGTTTTTGGTTACGGCATTGTTATTTATTTGACTGCCTTCAATAAATAATTGCGTCCAGCGATGAGGCAGCGGCATGCATAATTTTGCGATGATTGTGTTTTAATTAATGCAACACACAAAAACGAGAGACGGAAGGCGCGGAAGGGCTTAAAGATCGGCCCGTAATAGTTGCAAAAAATGAAAATCAACTGGCCGGCAAACTAACTAGCGGCTATTGTTTGGCCACGGCGCCCACATTTACATGCACTCGCATTTAACCCCTTCACGCACACACATGTAAACGCGTATGGCGGTGCACTGCAATAAACAGAAAATAATACTAAAATAATGGAAATCCCTTTTGAAATCGCTAAGTGCAGAGCCACTTGCCTTAATTCGAAATTATGTATTACTGCTGTTTCCAGGCTGATATAGTTTCATTCATTTCCTGGCCAATTTGCCGTGGTTGCAGTGTACACGCCTTAGAACAATGGCCTCAAATTAAAAGCTGAAATCAATGGGCCCTCGTCGACCCCTCGACCGTTTATCCCCTTACCCCTGACCCGACCCCTTCCAATTTATTCAGTTTGTTCATCGCTTGCATTAAACATAATGCACGTAATTATTATCATTTTGCGGCAGCTTCTACATGCAACACACACACACACGCACACTTTTTGCTTCCACCAACCGAATCGAATCGAATCGAATCGAATCGAAAATACAGAAATCCTCACTTTTCGGCTGAAACTGCCAATTTATACTCCATTGTGAACTATTTATTAGCGCATAACCTTATAAACGAGCGGTATGGGGAGGGGTTTTGAATTAAAGGGGACATCGCCTGCATGTGTGTACGTTTTACCCTCATAATATGCGGACCAAGTTAAGTACGATGGCCAAAAAGCCATGCAGAGTTTGAGGTTTTGAGATACGATCATTAGCCCTTGAAAGCCGATGAGTGGGGCGATGTAAAGTGATTACTTTCATAGATTTCTAATTTGTTGCACAATTAGCGGCATTGCATTTTACATTGCCTGCGAAGCCATTAATCAATGCATCCGAAAACGTTGGCTGGCCAATGTGTTGGTTCAATCAAAGTTTGGTAGATTGAATTACTCGCACTGTGTTTACATTTTCCATTTTCCAAAGCTGAGGTGAGTTAGCCTTAGTTCTCAATTGCTGTGCAGTTAAATCCAATCCAATTGAGGGATTTATTGTCTGATATTTGCCACTTGAATTAGCCAACAGCTCGATTTGGCAAAGCCAAATTTGAGTAATATTTACCAATCGATATAAAATCATTTAAGTTGAAATTCGAAACGTACTTCTTTGTTTCGAAATATTTATTTTGCTGCATTTATAGCCCCAAATTGTGCGATTTGTGCATTACATTTGGTTGTTTCTAGGACTCTGAAGTCGCTGGAAGTTTAAGCTATTCACCTGGCAAAAAAAGAAACCAAACCCCATGGGTCCGGATAATCCAGAGGCAGTGGATCTAGGCGGGGAATAGCCGCCTCGATTGCCGCTGTCCCCCGGAGAAAATAAAGAAAGTCCCTAATCGCATTTGACTTTACCAATGTTCCCAGCTGGCATGCGAGCTGCTTGGCTCGCCCCAGTTTTCCCTCCTTGATTTTCCATGGGCTTTTCCTGTTTGTAGTTGGTTTTCCTACTGACAAATATGTGTGTGTGTGTGTGTGTGTGTGTAGCCGGCAGAATGCCAACAATATGCAGGTGCATATTGTGAAGGCAGATTGTGGCTTGTCGTTCCGAGTGCCTAACAAGTGCCAGCAAATGTACCGTGAAGAAACCATTTAGGATTAGTTTAATATGATACACAGGGATCTCGAATGCGGGCTGGAGCTGGAGGTGGTGGCTAGATAACGCTCCTGGAATAAGCAAACAGTACTTAAAACTGTACTGCCGGGGCAGGACTACTTAAGATGGGGCTGGTGGGAGGAAAAAAATGGAAAAAGCCACGAGCAAACGGACAGACTCTGGCAAAATATTGGTGAGATAAAGCCAAGGCTCAGCCCGAGCTGCACAAAGGAAAAAAATGACAAATTTGCAAATGTTAAGACGGAAAGAAAACATCAACATAAGTTATAGGCTTAGTGCGTAATCGTTTTTCGCAAAAGGACCAAGGACTCTCCACGACTCGGCAGGCAAAAGCCGAAAAAGCGAAGGGCACGAAGTTGGCGGTGGGGCATGTGGCAGCATGGATATGTCATGCCACCAGCGATGTTTTCTCGCCTGGAGATGGGGCACTTTTAAAACTGGAGCACAGCTATCCAAGGGGCAGGACCAAGCAAAGTCGTTAGCTCCAAGGATATTGATATCGATGGCATGCGCTGAATGACTTGGCAAATGTATATTAATACAATAACGCAGCAGGCATTATTGTGTTTTCACTGCATCCACTTATGCTTGGAGTGCCCAGCATATTATTAGCCAAAGTTGTTATCATATCATGCTATAAATCACGATTCCCCCGCAGCTGACAATCGAAAGTGGCAGCACCTTTTAGCCGCTTCAGATCGCCGACTTATCCACAGTCCGCCTCCATTAGACATTAGCCATGCGGATTTCCCTGGCTGTTCAAATTAAAAATTCATAAAAGCGGAATTGCGAAATTATGATGATAAAATAAACACAGAAGAGAAGCCGCAGACGAGGCGACGGCCAGCGGGAAGCTGCACTGGGAGAAATGAGTCAAGCCTAGTCAAAATATTATGGAGCATTAAGCTACAAGATTCTCTTTCTGCAAGGAGAGTGGCTAATGTTTATAAGGGATTATGTTTATCAATGGTAGTAATGGCGACTTTCACCCGATTTCTGGCAGTGTGCAGCCAGCTGGTGGGTGGCGGTGGGTGGCGGTGGGTGGCGCTCTGAACGTGACATTGGCCGGCTACTGTGAGAAAAGCCAGCCGCAGATTCGGACCCTGCTCCGGCGACTTGAGCGCTGATGATGTGGATAAAATAAACATGGGACATTGGTTTGGCCGAGCAGCGTTTACGAGGGGGGGGGGGGGGGTGGGCGGATGTGGGCGGAGTTGGGGGTGGGTGGCTGGCCGGGACGAAAGCGTGTTTAAACATTAAAAGGACCATTAGATACGCCTTAAAGTATGCTTCAAGTAGATTATCTTCCATCAGTTTTGTTTGCTTACTTGGAATTGTTTCGCTTCATTTTTCTCGTTTGCAAACACGCACACACACACACACAGCCAAAGCTTGGTTTACTTAGTCCCTGAGTGTGAGGGGCATGTGTATGTGTGGGTGCGCTTTCCTTTTGGCCAAGGAAAGCATCTTGCGGAGTAGAAAGCCAAAGGCGAAGACGAAGGCGAAGGCGAAGACGAGGACGAAGAAAAGCCCGAGACGAAGACGACGTTATTATAAATTGTGCGCGTGTCCTTGTAAAATAACATCTAGTGAACCCAAAAGGCGCCCTGCACCACTCCAAGCCACCCGAACCACATTCTGGTCAAGTCGTGGCCTCGGCAATGCTGCTGAAATTACCAAGAAGTGCGCTCTGGGTGGCGCTATTGCCTCTGCTCCAGCCTTTCGCTTTTGGCCATGGCTCACGGCTCACGGCTCATGGCTCATGACTGATGACCATGGCGGTGGAAGGGGGCTGGTGCCCGGTGGGGGGCGGGGCGCCAGCCTTGACTCAATTTAAAGCCCGTCCAATTGGTCGTAAATTTCTATTTCTGTCCCTGGCGCCTCGGATGCGCGGCAGTTGGAGAGCTCTATCTGGAAAGGACATCATTGTCCTTATACCTGGAAAAACGCCTAAGCTTCTTGAGTCGAATTGTATTAGGTACAATTCCAAGAATTAAGCAGAAATGGCTTAATTATGTATGAGTAATCAATATTTATATTATCTGCTGGGCTTAATCATTGTAATCAAAAACTAAACGCTGATTATTTGTTTTATTTTTCGTTCCCAACATTTTTCTCACTTTAGCAAGTATGGAACATGGTCAATCAATTAATTAATCATATCAGCCAAGTGCCATCGCCAATTACATTAGCAGACGACCAGGTGACCAGGTGACCAGAGTCCTGTCGCCACTCCACCAGCGGCCATTCAGTCATGCGCCTCGCTATCCTGTGGCTGTTCTCCAGCTGCCTCCTGCCGGCGGCTCAGATTGGGCTGTGGGTCTGGGTGCGCGCAGAGGACTCTGGTCGGGATCTGCTCCTCTCGCGGTTGGGCAGTGCGCAGTATGGGCTCAACACCAGGCGCCTGGCGAATGCCTCAAGTTATCTGACCAGGAACTACATTGCTGACAGGATCAACACGCTGGTGGTGCGACAGAGCTGTGTGCAGTGTTCCCAGGAGCTGAACGACCGCCAGCGACAGCTGGTCGACCACATCCTGGCCAGCCTCGCCCCGGACCTCAGTGTGCTGATGCACAGGGGCACTGCCAAGGAGTCCTCCTGGGAGTATACACTCTTCGTGGTCAACGACCACGCCGCCTACAGGTGAGGCACAACGAATGAACGAATGATTTGTTGACTCCTTTAAATGGTTCCATACCCCTTCGTAGAGGCCAGGTCTTCATGTTTCCGGACGAGCTGCTGGAGCGCGAGTTCTTCTACATAGTGGTGGTGTCGGCAGTCCAAAGTGCCCGATTCGTCAATCAGACCGTTGAGTCCATTGTGAATTTCAATCTGCAGATGCATTTCGTCAACGTGGTGGTGCTGGCGCAACTGGAGGACGGAACGGTGGCCGCCTACAGCTACAAGCTCTTCAAGCCCAACTGCAGGCCAGGCGTGAGGGTGCTGCGAATCAATCACTTCGACAGGATCACCGGCGAGCCGCAGCAGAGTATGCCGGACTTGTATCCCGTGCGGAAGGGCCACCTGGGCGATTGCCCCTTCAATGTGGGCGCCACCCACCTGCCGCCCCACTTGATCTACAAGCGGCACAAGGGTCCTCCGCCGGCCAGCAACGAGTCCGTTCCGGCCGAGGATCTGTCCGGCATCGACTGGGATCTGCTCCAGCTGCTGGCCCAGGCGCTAAGGTTTCGCATCCAGCTGTACATGCCCCAAGAGCCCAGCCAGATCTTCGGCGAGGGCAACGTTTCCGGCTGCTTCAAGCAGGTAATTCGTGTATTTAAGCAAAGCCTCTTGTATTTATATGAAATTTGCATCGATTTCCAAAATGCCAGCTGGCAGACGGCGCCGTGTCGATAGCCATCGGCGGCTTGAGTGGCTCGGACAAGCGGCGCTCCCTCTTCTCCAAGTCCACCGTGTACCACCAGAGCCACTTCGTGATGGTGGTGCGCCGGGATCGGTACCTGGGTCGCTTTGGCCCGCTGATCCTGCCGTTCCGGGGCAAAGTGTGGGGCGCCATCATCGCCATCCTGCTGCTGGCCGTGCTGAGCACCTGTGCACTGAGATCCCGCTTGCGCCTGAGCCATCCAATGGAGAATCTGCTTGTGGTGATTGTGGGCAATCCGATAGCCGAGCGCAGGCTGCCAGGCACAGGATTCCTGCGCTACTTGCTGGCCAGCTGGCTGCTGCTCACCCTGGTGCTGCGCTGTGCCTATCAGGCGCGGCTCTTCGACGTGCTCCGCCTCTCGCGCCACCGCCCACTGCCCGAGGATCTCAGCGGCCTGGTCAGGGACAACTACACCATGGTGGCGAACGGGTACCATGACTTCTATCCCGTGGAACTCACCAGCCGCCAGCCTCTGGACTTTGCCGCCCGATTCGAGCGGGTTCAGGGCGCCGCTGCGGGCGAACGGTTGACCACGATCGCGCTGGTCAGCAACCTGGCCTATTGGAACCACAAGCATCGGAACACCAGCCGCCTGACCTTCGTTCGCCAGCCCATCTACATGTACCACCTGGTCCTCTACTTCCCCAGGGGCTTCTTCCTCCGGCCAGCCGTCGATCGCAAGATCAAGCAGCTGCTGAGCGCCGGGGTGATGGCCCACATCGAAAGGCGGTACATGCAGTACGAGGACAAGCGGAGTGTGGCCTCCAACGACCCCGTGCTCCTGCGCAGGATCACCCGGAGCATAATGAACGGTGCCTACCGCATCCACGGCCTGCTGACTCTCCTGGCCACCGGCGTGTTCCTCCTGGAATTTCTGGCGGGGCGCAGCAATGGTAGACTTAGGCGATGCTTGGACTGGATGCATCAGCCGTAGGAGAGCTATCTTTTTGCATTCGTTTGGAAATATACGTGGCTAACATAAAATCCAGAACTTTCGCTACTCAAGGGCTGGTCTTAAATAAATTTGATGGCCGTTAGTAGTTGATAGTACCTTTAAAGGAAACAAAAAATGTAAGACAGCAGGAAACTGCCTTGTTTTGTAAGCTAGTTAAGCTCAATAATGGCCAATCTTCGGCGGAAAGGAGCCACCTCCCTTGGCCATCTTCGGGCGAAGCTGGAACCTAAGTGGTTGGCGCCTAAGCCAGACATGCTGCACTTAGATGGATTTTTGTGCGGTGGCCGGCTGGCCTTAAAAATTGATTTAAGACTTGTAACGCAGCCGCTGGATGGGTTGAGGTTGAGCTTACAGCTGTGCCCTTTTTTGTGTTTTTTGGCTTCCCCCCGCCGCACCACTCCTGGCCACTCGGCACCACTCTTAGCCATGTGTGAGCAGCGGCAACTGGCCAACTGGCCGAGCGGCACGGAGCGGCACTTGAGTTAAGCTGTGCAAACGTTTGCATAATCACGTTCCAATTTAAATTGCTCTATTTGCCGGGCTGCCACCCACCCACCCACTCACCGCCAACGCCCATCTTTGGCCAGTGGGCGTGGCCATTGTTGTCGCCTCTTTCGAATTGGAAAATCCGAACCACTTTTATTAGCCGTGGTGCACGAGCACTCGTACGTATGTCGGTGTTCATCTGAACCGTCTGTTTGCGGAGCCGGAGCAAAAATGGGATGCGGATTCGGATTCGGATTCGGTTTTTACTTGGTCGCTATCCATCTGTGTGTCCACTCTGCAAATCACTGCTTCCTGTGTCGGTGCGTAAACAAAGGGCAACAGTTGATAGTTGCTGGGAAAAAACGCCCATCGATTCGCATTTACATGGAATGCATATGGCCAGCAAGGAATTGCATTTGGGGATTAAGACGAGGTGACTTCCTTGCTCCAGAGGGGCGAAAAATGCAAATATTCATTTTTCATCCAATTAAACTTTGCTTAGTGAAACGAATATTCGAATATTTAAGAGCTTAAATGCACGCAGTAATCAAAGCAGCTGCCGCTTTGGTTTTGTTTAAGCCAAGCTGTGTTGGACCAAAGCAAAGTGGTGGCTTAAACATCATAGAAGCGCTTGCAATTTATATTTTCTTTGCCCCTTCATTTCTTACACATGCAATTTATAAATGTAGTATTTGGGAGAACATAATCCTGTGGTCCTCGTTCCAGGCGCAGATCAAATTCATTTGGGGCGACTTTTAATTAAACACTGCGTTTCATCCAATTTGAGGCTGGAAACTCGACGGATGCCAACCACTCAGGACCAGAAGTTGCACTTCTCATCCTTGATGATCGGCTCACCGCTGACCCCGTCATCTTCCTTCTGCTTGGGCGGAAACACGCGCATTCCAATGCCGGGATTCTTCTGCGTGTTGTGGAACTTCATCATCAGCATGTCCCAGTCGTAGATGAGACCCGGCCGCAGATTGAGCCCATTCCGCAGCATTCGGAACATGCGGCAGATGAAGTCGTAGTCGGGCTTGTCGTAGAACCCCATGCCGCGGCAGTAGTTCAGGTACATGGTGAACTCGCAGGGAAAGCCCTCGCACAGGACCTCGATGCTCACCGAGATCTTCTTCTCATGTATGCGCTCGTACTTCTGCTGCTTGGTGGACGCCTTCAGGTCCTGCCACGGCAGGGAGCCGCGATTGAAGTACATGAGGACATAGCCCACGGCCACCATGTCATCCCGCCTGGCGGACTCGACGCCCGCATGAGCGCCAATGGAGGCGTACCGGGCGGTGCCCGTCAGGGAGCGCTCCTCGCGATAGGGTATGTGCACGCCGGTGGTTATGTCCAGGAACTTCTTGGACAGCCCGAAGTCGATCAGGTACACTTGCTTGGACATGGTGCCCAGGCCCATCAGGAAGTTGTCCGGCTTGATGTCGCGGTGCAGGAAGCCCCGGTTGTGGACGTACTCCACCCGGCGCAGCATCTGCTCGGCCAGCAGCAGCACGGTCTTGATGGTGAAGGCCCTCTCGCAGAACTGAAAGAGCCGCTCCAGCGACGGTCCGAGCAGATCCATCACCATCGCCTGGTAGTGCTGCTCCTTGTGGAAGTACCTAATCCTTGGCAGGCCGGGTGCGGGCCTCAGAGCCCGGTAGAGTCGCCTCTCGTAGTTCAGCTGCGGATGGCGCACCTTGCTGCTCTCCACCTTGATGGCCACCCGCTCCCCGCTGTGGATGTAGATGCCCAGGTATATATCGCCAAAGGATCCGCAGCCGATCTTGCGCACCACCTTGTAGTTGCCGATGCGCACTTCGCGGCTTTGCGAGGACCGCAGTCGTTCCATTCTGCTGCTTTTTGTCTAACTCGATCAAATGTGTTTCCAGCTAAATATGTTTGGCATAGGCAACTCGAAGTCTGACTGACATCGAGTTGGACTTGACGTTGATGTCAAGGCTTACCACAATTTAAGTTAGGAAGCCTGGCAGCTTAAACTTAACTTAACCGGCTTAAAACCAACCGAAGGTATCTATATGCTTTTTATTAATAGCACTTAGGGCGCCAAAAGTTTGTTGGTGCCGCCTTGCGCGATATCGAGTATCCGCCCTGTTGATCGCATTCGGGCTGCACTTTAACGGCTGCTCAGCCAAATGCCTGGCCATCCAATCCTTTAATGTGCCATCCTGCCCGGTCTGCCTGGGTGCGTGTGTGAGTGTGTGCTTGTGCGTATCGATTATCCTGGCAGACGGCGGCATCCGTAGACGGAGACACAAGCGCAGAAAGGAGGAGTGGGGGCCAGTGGAGGTGACGGGGACGGATCAACTAGCCAGTAATAATGTCTTTCGCTGACATTTGACATTTTGGCTATATATCACTCACATTGTGACAACTGGCAACTTGGCATTCAAATACTCGTATAGCCGGAGCGCCAGGAGCCGGGCTCTCAGATGTTTAAGAACAATAAATTTGTGTGTGCGTGTGCCGTCTCCTTCGTCCACACCCCGATCACAGCCCCCAGCATGTCCGCCACATCGCCCCACTCCCCCCCCTCCCCCTTCGACTTGCCCCCGTAATACACCCTCCGTATGTATGTATATGTATGTGTGTGCGAGTACATCCCCTGGCAAATTTCAGTTCGGCAGCAGCCTTACTGGCTGCCTGCAAACCTAATGACAAGACGGAAGCGACATATTTGAACTGGAATGAAGCGGGATTGAGGCTGCAGCCGGGTCCATTATCATCATTCGTGCACTGAGAAAAATTAGTTCCAAGCTCCGGCTCAGAATATGTGTGCCTATGCGGTACAACTCTGCATTACTCGGCTGAAAATGGTCAAAAGGCTGAAACTAAAAGTGTTTTCCAAAGTTAATCGCAATTGCTAACGACCTCACTCATTATGAGGTGGATAGAAAATAATAGATAATGGATAAAAAAAGAAGAATTCCCATTTTTCAACACAGTTCGATTGGGAATTCAAATACCAGATATGGCACTCCATATTCGCCAAAAAACAGATTATTTTATGACTAAAATTTGTCAAAGAAACTATGCAGAAATTTAAAAAAATTGCAATATAAGTGGACTTGGCTAAAAATTTACTTATTCATTTGGACAATTCATTTTGGGCTACATTTTTTGTAAGGGGAAATATAAATATATATCATCCAAATTTGCGAAAAATGGCTAAAAATAGAATTCCCACTTTTCAACCATAGTTCGATTGGGAATTCAAATACCATATATGGCACTCCATATTCGGACCATTCTTTTCTGGTTCTGGCCAAAAAACAGAATATTTTGTGACTAAAGTTTGTCAAAAAACCATGCAGAAATTACAAAAAATTGCAATAGAAGTGGACTTGGCTAAAATGGACTAAAAGGGCAAGGAATAGCCGTCTTGGTAGCTGCTTACGAGTGCGAACAAAGGCACATTTTAATGGATACACTTCTTATTTGCAGTGTAGAGGCGTTAAGCGGAGGATGAGCCGGCAGCCGGGCATTTACATCATAACATGGCCGCCTGATGGATAGACAGATAGTCAGGCATTAGCATTAGTGGCCACCACAATCGGTATTTAGATGATGATGATCATGATGAGCATTGGCTGCGATGATGAGCACGATGCGGATGATTACGATGATGGGCAGATGATGATGATGGCGGCAGAAGCTCCTGTTCGTGTCTCCTGGATTTCAGATTGCAGAATTCAGATTTCAGATTTCGGATGCAGTAAGCGATTCACTGCAATCCGACTCCGATTCAGATCCAGACTCAAAGCTAGATACTCCGTCTGGGCGTGCGGTTTTCGGTGGGCGTGGCCGGCCCTGATGCTGAAACATGCGGGTAAATTATCTTTTCATTTCCATCAACGTCGTCGTTGTCGTGGCTTTTCCGTGCCTGTAACTGTTGTTGTCGTGGAAATAGCCACTTCCACTCGCTGGCCTACGCCAACTGCCATTTCCACACTCCCGCTCCCCCCTGCAACTTGTAGTTACAATGGCAACACATTCGGGAAATCGGGCTATCGAATTGTTTGGCTTCATGTGTGTTCTTTCTTTCGCCACGCCCCCGAAGTTTTGGGACTCATTAAGTGGAATTGGAGGCCATTTAATAGCCGGCAAGTGTCAGTGCGTCACTAATTGGACCACGCAGGCTGTACTATTTAAATTTCCCCACCACTTTTGGACGCTTTTGCAGTGCTGCTCTTTAGTTCAATGTCCTTGATTGCAACTAATTCTGGAGGACAGGGCTTAGTCCTGCGTCCATTTCAATATCCGTCGAGGCGATAGCTTGCCGGGTGCAAATGAGTATTAATGAATATGAAAGCCAGCCACTCGCCGGGCGAACTAACTGGCCAACGTGTCGAGAAGAAACGTGACAAAAGTTCATGTATAGCCGGCAATTGCACCGGCAGTGAAAGAGACAGATTGCACTGCAGATTGCCGAGAAGGAGACGGCATTAGCGGGGCCGACAGAGACGGGAAGATGGCGCTGAAGTTGGATGAACAACAAACAGCAAAATATAAATGACTTTAATAGCTCATCAATGATTCAGGCGGAAATCCGGGCTGTCCAAGTGCAGTCGGTTTATTGGATACCGGAAAGGCATTATGTTGCTCTCTCTTTTGCCCACTCGGGCCCTCTCGCCCTCTCGCCTCTCGCCTCTCGCCATCTCTTTCTCCGCAGCCCGTCCCGCTCTATTTGTGTATTTGTTTGATTGTGCTGACTGGAGTAGTCTGTCTGACTTTCTGGTCTGGGGTTTTTGGATCCAAATTGTGGGGTACGGGCTCTACTGTCTGCTTAGCTGCAATGATTTTCACGCTGCCTCCGAAAAGTATGCAACACAATTTGCATATTGTTTTGCTCCTGCATTTTGCCCCTGCAATTTGTCCCGCTCCCTGTTCTCGACACCCCTCCCCCCTCCAACAGCTCATCATCTCCTGTTGCACCTGGAAAAAAGTCGGGCTAAAATCACTTGGCTAAATCCCTGCCGAAGCTGTCTAAAAGGATGCAAACGTATATTTTCTACCAGGAACTGCGACGAAGTTAGCTCTTGTTTCGCACAGTGCTCTTCGGCATATGCCGCCCATTTGCATTTGTGTTCAAGTCAACTCTCACTTCAATTGCCCCCACACCTTTTACACCTGTTTTCGAGGACTGTGTGTGCAGTGTGTGCATTTGCATCATTATTATCATCATTATAGATGGCACATGGCCAGTTTCCCCCATTGGCCATGTGACAGTAGCCGCTTGGCTTTTGTGTCTCATTTATTATGCAAATCCGAGCCAGGGGTCGAAAGCGAGGCGTGTGGCATGAAGGAAGGGTGGCAATGTGCAGATGTGTGGATGTGAGGATGTGAGGATGCGAGTGGAAATGGGGACAGCAGCCTTTATTCCTTGGCTGATTGTCCGATGGACCGGACGGTCAAAGAGTTCAGGTTTTGCAACAATTATGCCGCAATAATCATCGATGTGTTGCAGTCTTGCAAGCGTGTATGAGCTGTGCCATTTGCCCAGAAACAATAATGCTTATCGCATATTAATGAAACGACAGCAAATATAACAAATCAACGCAATTGGAAAATTTATTCAGCTCCCTTTCCGATATTGCAAATGTTGTTTAAAGTTTCGACAAACACAAATCGAATCTGACAAGAGGGATTTCTACAAATCGAAGCCACACACACACTTTAGATATTCTTTTCAAAGTGTTTTCCCAAAACAATGTAGAAAAGCCCTTCTCATGACCATTTAAAACAGTAATGTACTTCAGAAATGTTTACTCACTAACAATTTGTCTAGCATTTCAAATAAATTGAAGAGCCCCATGAAAGGCAGTGTATGCACTTTCGGAAAACGAAACTAGAGGTGGGATTGGGTGGACAATAATAAAAAGTAAATATAATTTCAATTTTTATTCTCGCTTCAATGTTAATCAATTACGTGCTTTAATTGAAATCGCCAAAGTCAATAGCGAGCATCAAGTAAGACCAAAAACAAAACCCATTTTGGCACACATACTACTCGTATTTATATAGGCGAAACACACATATTATTGTGCGTTATTTGTCTATGAATTTTTAAGCGGCCAAAAGATCCCGGCCGGCCACTCATTTTCACTCCGGAAAATCAACTGTCCGCCGACTGCTGTTTGCCTACGAATTGCTTTTCAATTAACTCTAAGCCGTAAAAACATAATTGAAATGCGGCTGCCCCTCCTCCATTATGCATTCCCAGTTCTCCATTTGCCAGGCCAGCGCGCAATAAACCAGCAGGACTGCTCGAGGACCTCGACTTGGAGGTACTCAGTAGTGGGAAAAATGGTATCCATACAGCTTACTTATATGTAAGATGTAATTAATGTAACTGCAGTTGGTTCTGCCAGATAAGCTTGACTTATATAGGTATAGTATTTTAGGAGAGTACAAGATATCCCAGCTGCTGATCTTATATACTGTATATGAGGCTATCAAATCTATAGTTTCGAACAGCCTGCTCTAGTCTAAAGTGCATTATAAACATCAAAAGGCCCTGCAAAATGAGGTCAGAAGTGTACGAACCATCGGGTGTTTTGAGGCTATAGCTCTGGACCTGGAATAGCTTCGAACCTCGGCTGGTGTCCTGCATCCTGCATCCTAGTATCCCACTCCCATATCATAGCATCCAGCGAACTAAGCAGGACTGAACTGAACCGAACCGAACTGAACCCAACTGGACGTTACTCGGTTGCCCGACTCGAATGGGCCTCCTGTCGTCTGCGGCTGTAAATGAAGTTGTGTTTTAATTAAAATTCCAGACTTTATTTCTGTAATTATATTAACTCGCTGTTCGAATTCGTTTGCCGGGCCTTCGCTTTCTCTCTCGATCGATCTATGGGCTGGGCGGGGGGAAGCAAGGAAAAGATAAAACCATTAACGGCAAAGTG